CTAGGAACAAGGACGCTACTAGGGGCTCCTGGCCCTACTTTGCTTTTGACGGCACCCTTTGGGTATTTCCTTTTGGGATGATGAGTTTCAATGGGTGGAACTGAAACGAATTGAGTTTTAGCGCCTTCCGGGCGCCGAGACGGCACAGACCGCACCACCGCACAGGTCTACAATGTGAAGAATGTGGACGCCGTGTACGTCCATTGGGTCCACAGCTGGAAGCATGGGACGCAGCATATTCACTTGTCTCCCAAATTGGGAGTCGCCAACCACTACCGTAAACCCTTTGACGATCCCTGGGGCGGCCCATTGATCCAAACCAATGTGTCGGATTTTGCGTTGCAGAGCGAGGTTGCCGCCTTGGAAGAGGCCCTCTTGGTTTGACGTGTAGAATGTTGGAAGGGGTGGCCAAAATTTGGTTTTTAAGATGCTACAATTTTGGGGTCCCGACTCACACCCTATGTTTAATGGTCTCCAGACTCCAGTTGGCATGTTTCAGCGAACATGGGATCCAGGCTTTGGCGACACGCTTTCAATGCGACCCGAGCAAGTTCCTGGAGCACCTCTACCACCAGACCATTGCGCCGGACCCACCCAACTCTGACGATTACATCAAACCACGAAAAATCGGCTGGAGGCCGCCCTTTTGGCCTCGCAGCACGCCTTAGCCTGGAAGACGACGTGTTCGGTCTGAAACTGTCAAGCTATTCAGACCTGGACGTGGCAGTTCGTCCAGCAGTTTCACGAGACCTGGAAAAAGCGTTAGACTGAACCTCGAACCCAAAATAGAACAGTTACCATTCAGGTCTTCATGGGTGAGTCCCAGCGGTTTCACTCTCCAGACCGAGGACCAGTCGTCGCCGGGGCAACCCGTCGCTGATGTGTCAAAACATGAGTGATTGCATGTAATGGCCATGAGGGTCCCGAAGCAATGTTCTACTGACCGGATTTTTCCTGGGTTTCTTCGGCTGTAGCGCACTTCATGGATCTAAGCTCACGAGTAATGATGCTTCATGAGTTGTGTGCCGTGCCACTCTCATGACATGTGGGGAGCTGCTGCGTCAGGTGCTCGATACAAGCAGGGATCATCCCCGGCCTTTGACAAGTTTCTTGGAGGCGAAGGCTCAGCAAGTGATCATGCCTTCCAAGGGTTCCTTTTTTCGTCAAGGCAGAGAGAACTCGGACACGGAGCTTGACACGAATCCAAAACAAAGCACGGATCATTGATTTTGGACATGTGCCATGTTCCATGGTTCCATCATATTCCATCGGTGTACGATGTGCCAACAGTTGGAGCCTCCAGAGAAGATGTTGTTGAGGCCTCCGGACCAGTGGACTCATGCTCCGGGGAAGCCTAGGTGATGGAAGGACCCATGTGAAGGATTGTGAAGGTTTATCTGGCCAATTCCTAGTCAATTCAACTCCTTTGCTAGATTCGTTTGAAAGGTCGGTGCTACGCCCTTTGGCAAATGTGCTACTTAAAACCCTGGTTTTGTTATAACTAGTTAAGTATGTTAGGTGGAGTTGTAATTTTTTGTAACTTTTTATAACTATGTACTAACTAATTATAACCATGTATGAACTAGTTATAACAATGCATAAATATGCATAACTTTTATACTAGTTTAACATATGATAGTAGCTTTTTAAGTTTTTTTAGCTAATTCATGTTAACTATGTTAACTAGTTATAATTTTTGTTGATGGAATTAGCTGTTTTTAACATCGTGATTTTTAACAAAAAACAAAGGCAGAAAGCGAAGGCACTGATGGCTGAAACCATTGAACCTTCAAAAAATAGGTTGTCCAAAAAACATTTTCTAGGAGCATGATGCCACATTGAAGATAAGTTTGGCCCACGCACGAAGACAAAAAATTAAGGGAAATCTATAGGATTCATATGGTGATTTTTACCTGTGGGAAAATTCCCAAACTCATGAGCTGACATGCTGTCATTGAGATTTCAAAAGATCTTTTAAAAAGACCAAGCAAGCCTTTGAAAGCACACACATAGGATTTCCACAGTCATATGGAGAAAATATTATATCCGCAGCCTTCTCAACAAACATTTTGCCATATTATACCCAACACCCATCCCTCAAAATACATGCAGCATACAGCTCCAAAGTTTTTTAGATAAACACCTATGTATATATATATATAGAGCCATTCCATGGCTGTCATGCAAACAGACTGTTATTGCATATATCAACTGGTCCTTTGAAAGAGCCATAGCATGGCTGTCATTCATGCCACCATTGTTTTAGTATATGCATCCAAATAAGTAAAAACAATAGTAACAACCAACATCTAGCCATATTGCTCCAAAACCAAAGACCAGTAGCTGGAGAAGACATCAAGCAGCCAGCACCCATATAGCCATGGTGGAAATTACCTATGCCATGCAGATATCCTACCAAGATGAGAAGGCCATTGTGATTCCACCAGAACTGGTGGTGGATGGTCCAGATGGCACCAAGTTTCTGAGAATCAGATCCACTGCCCTTCCCATCATTCAACTGATTTGTGGGACCAAGGTGACCAAAAATGCATCCCTTGCATCTTGCCCAGCCCTATCCAACTTGGTTTCCATGAGGAATTCCAAGTATGATGAAGCAGGCGACCCACAAGACCCAGACATTGATCTATTCTTTCAAGGGCCAGCCTCTCCAAAAAGAAACCCAGAAGGAGGACCTTCCAAGAGGACCAAGTGCTGACCATTACTGTTGAGGACAAGCCCATTGAAGTCTTGATGACTGGCCAAAGGCCCAGGGCCACAGATTTGTTGGTCAAGATTGATGCCACCCAGCTGACCACAGTGATCGAGTATTTGAGGCAGGACAGCCATGAGGCCATGTCCAGTGAAAAGAGGAATTACACCAAGAGGAAGGCTCCTCCTGCCTGACACTTTCCAGAAGTGATTCTTCCAAATGGTTGGCAAGAAAAAAGAGTCCTTGCAATTGCACCATATTGGAGAGCCCACTATGGCTATATATCAAACCATGAAAACTGTTAGCACCATGTGGCCAATTTGTTACCAGGCAGATTTAGGCATGGAAGAGAGGGAGAGCCTTTTGGCTATGATGCATAGTTTTTTTTGAATGCTTTGAGTTAAGTAGCTTTTTGGTGGTCAAACCATCTTGAGTCCTAAACCACTGTGCCCATGGCTGTCCCACCAAAGCTGGTGAACCAAATGGTGTCCACCTTGGACAGCTCAAAGCCAGTGAACCAAAAGGTGGAGGAAGTGATTGAACTTCTGCAAGCCAGTGGTTTTGCCCACCACCAGGAGCTGTTGCCCAAAGAGGTTCTATGCCATCCATCCAACAGAGCCCAAAGCATGTTGAGTTATCATGATGTACATGCCAAAGGTGCTCACCTGATGGAGGTAGGAGTGAAGAAGTCCATGCTGCAGGGTGCCATTTGCGTTGAGATGAGCACCCAAGAGCCCAAGAGGTCCCAGCAGATTGCCAAGAACAAGCAGCTCATTGCAGAGTCCCAAGGATGTTTAGCCTCACTTTGTGGATCAGAGCGTTCCTTGGCCACAATTGAATACCTTGGCCACAACACAATTGAACATATTCTTGGTCCTGAGAGCCCAGTGGCTGTGTATGCATGGTGTTATAGAGGAGCTGTAATTATGAGCAAATACATTGCCAACTGAGGCTACCTGAGCCTGGGATCAAGCCATACAGTGGCCTTTTTGAAGTGTTTGGAAGCAGGGGTGCAGGGCCCCAATGGCCAATCAATGGATGTTCCCAAAAGCAACCCTGCATGGGAGCTCATCCACCATGGATGGAATTGGGTGGTGCTTTCCCATGCTCTGGAGGATGCCATCCCAATGCTGTGCAATTTTCTGCAAATGGCCCAAAATTCCAATAGTTCCATTGGAAAGGCCATCAATGAGTTGGAGACAGCTTGCCTTATGGCCACCTATTTCAAAGCAGGCCTCAAATTGAATGATGCCATTTCCAAGGCCAGGCAAGGAGACATCAAGTGCAGAGACAGCTTACCAGCCATAGCACTGTATGTCCAGAGGTTTGCAAGATGGGTTTGCCATTGAAAGATGGGTTTGCTGGGGAACAGGTGGTTGAAGCAGAGGCCATGCTTGCTGATGCATGGAAGACAGCCAATTCTTGGCTGTCCAGCCAAGCAAGTGAGACCAGGGACAATGCTGAGGCCCATGCCTTCAAATCCTTTGGGCGAATGGCAGTCAGAGCCATGCTTTTTCTGTTGAACAAACAGAAGTTTTCCAGGGAGACCAAGCAATGGGAGGGCTTGCCAGAAATTCTCCAGTCCTTCACTGAAGATCTTGCAGAGTATGGCAGCACATCCACTCCATCCCATGTACCTGAAAAGCCTTTGCAGATCACTGATGCCCTCAATGCAGATGCCAAAACCATGGCTTTGCTACAGAATGCCCATATGGAAATTGGGAAGATGTGACTTGCATATTTTGGTTTGTTGATTTTTTCATTGTGTTTGTTTTGTATGTGGTTTATTGGTTGTTTGTTAATTCAGTCCTGAGGTATTGCTACCCCAAAGAGCATGGCCAGAAGCCTTTCCAGCTCACCAAAGTGAATGATGACCATGTAACCATGGCCCATTCAGCCCTATTTCAAAGCCCAGAGGAAATCCATGTTGTATTTGCAGACCTCAAAAAATGGAAGGTCACCAAGTCTCAGATGCCTCTCCTTTGCCCAGAAGAGACTGCCAGGCTGAGCTTGCCAGAGCAGCACAGTACTTGCCAAGAAGAGCTCACCAGGCTGTCAGTAGCCAATGCCTTGCATGCTTGCTACCAGTGCCATGCTCTTGCACCAAAGCAGGTTGCATTTGCTTTGTATCCAATGGCTCTTTATACCCAGCAGTCCTTCAAAAAGAAGCAGCTCAAACTTGTTCCTCTGGGGACTGTTACCAAAGCCAAAGAAGGCCTCCAGTCCAAATTGAGGATCCAGTGCCAGGGCATGGCATTTACCATTTGTGCATGGAAGCAGTCCACTGGCTTCAATGATGAGCATTGCTTGGTTACCCTTTTTTTGGGCCAAACCAACCACTGAAGAGGAAGCTGTGACCTTGGAATGGAGCCATGTTGCGCAAGATGGCATTTCCATCCCCATCTTGACCAATCCTGAAGCATTGTGCAAGCACCAACTTCTTTTGTACACCAAAGAGTCCCAGGAAAAAGAGACCTCAGGGGACACCAAGCAACCGCCCAAGAAGAAGAGCAGGAAATAGGCACCAACAAGGGTTGGCCAACAAGAGGGCCACTTTTGTATGAGACACCTTGCTATGCTTTGGAAAGGAGAAAAGCCATGTGGATAATTGAGGTTCTGTGTCCATGAAATATGCTTCTATAGTAAAAGCCTGGAGCCAACATGGCTGTTCCATACATGTGCAAAGCACCATGTGTCTATCCAAACAACATCACCATGTTCCAGAATATTTGTTTTCATGCAAGTAGCTTCATGAGCCATGTGGTTATGTACAAATCCACACCAACCATACATGTTTCTGGATTTATGTATATATATATACCAATGGTGCCAATATCTGTATAAATTGTTTCTGAGGCCAAAAGTAGAACAAAGAGCCTAGTGGCTGTTTCTAACTTCATATACCATCAGCATGATTTGCAGCCACTGTGCCCAAGAGCCACTGTGCCCACCAGCCACTGTGCCCACCAGCCACAGGTGGTACCAGGCCAAGTGGCCAGCCAAAGGAGCCCACAAAGGTGCACCCAAAGCTCAGCCAAGGGCCAGCCATGACCCAACCTGGTACAATGGGCGACCATGGCCAGCCAAGTGGGAGAGGTTCTGGGACCAGAGGTGGACCTGCCCCCACTGCAGGTACCAGGCCTACATCCTGAACTGCTATTGGCATGGCCACTGCATTTGTGGCGAGCCATGGCCCCAGATCAACCACTGGCTGCTGGAGATGGACTGGAGTGACTGAGGCCAGAAGGTCTCACCAGTGAGAGCAACTTGCTCTGTGTGTGGAAAAAACCTTCCATGGTCGCAGCATTGTGAGCCCAGTGGCTGTTTCATATTCCAATTATCATTACCAAGCTCAAATGCCTTGTGTAGTTTTCCTCTTTGTAAGAGCCTTGTGG